AAGGGGCAGATTTTGAAGCTTTGGATGACAACAGGATGGGTCAAGTCTCGGCCACCCTCACGCGCCATTCAGAGTCGCGTCTCAGACTCCCTCCCATGGCATTTATATGTAAATTTCAATTTTAACCTTTGCTACGGTTTTCATCTGGAGAGAATCAAAGGTATTAAGGGAGTAAACTGTGGCCTTTTGAGCCTGGATGGAAAGATATTCCCCCAAAAAGTTGATCGAATAAGGAAACTTGAGAAGGGAAATGGAAAACTGGAAATGCTTATTACATTGATTTCAGCAAATAAAAACAAAACACCAACAACCAAAAGTTCCATACTTTTTCTCGGATTCCATTTCCTCTGTTCAGTTTTTGTTCTAATCATCTTTTCCTGGTTTCTGTAAGTGTTCAATTCGACTGGTCTTTTTTTCTGAAATTTTGCTCCTTTATCATTTCCCATGCCTAATTCTTTCCGGGTCTTGAATGTTTAATGTTTTTGCTTATGTGCTTTTTGATGGGTATGTTTTGTAGGTTGTTGTTGGTGGAAGAATGCCATTTGGAGTTTTGAATTCATACCCAGATCTTGTTGCCTTTTGATCTTGTGGAATGCTTTCTGAATCAGGGGAAGCTGAGGAAAATAGAGGCAAGGAGAAAGAAGGAATATTCATTATCCCTTTCCCTTTTAGAGTGGTTTGAAGCGAAATTATATCATTTTGAATTTCGTTAATTCTTGGGTGCCTTTTTATTTTTATTGCTTGTGGAATATGGGTACCTGAATATTAGTCAGGAGGATGCATTGTTGAGTGTTAAGATGGAAAGATAAACACTTCATTCTGTTGAGAAGAAAAATGGTAAAGCGGGCGTTGGTTTTAGTTGGTTGATGTCTTTAGGTTGGACTGGCTTTCTGAGTGTGATTTCTCAACGTTTTTACATTTTTTGATCGTGTTGGAAGTGGGGCATTTGTTAAATAAATGAAGGTGGATGTGATTTCTTGATGGTTTTGTCTCATCAGTGGATTGCAATTTTTGGATTGAAAGTTGTGTGAATTTCTTTCTTGATGGGCTGATATGTCTTTTTAATATATTGATGGTGCTTCACTATGAAGGGTTTATGTTCATGTTGAGTTATTAAGTGCATGAGGGGGAGGTTTTGCATTTGAGTTATGTTCAAACAGATACTTAATAGGCTCCCAAGGAAGCCATCTAAGTCAGGTAACACTCTTGAGGGAGGGGGAGGATCTATCACTTCACCTAATTCATCTAACAATTCCCGAAAGAATGATTTAGCTAGTAAGAGGAATGTGAACTCAAGCGACACATCTTTTTCAGGCCTTCATCCTACCCCAAATTCAGGTTTGGATTATGGCAATAAGGCTTCCCATCCTGTATTTTCAAAGCTGAATGGGAATATAGTAGCTTCTTTCGAGGCACTTCCAAGTTTCAGGGATGTTCCAAATTCTGAGAAGCAGAACTTGTTTATCAGAAAACTGAGCTTATGTTGCATTATCTTTGACTTCACTGACCCAACAAAGAACCTCAAAGAAAAGGATACCAAAAGGCAGACTTTGATGGAGCTTCTGGATTATGTTTCTACTGCCAATGGGAAGTTTCCAGAAATTGTCATGCAAGGAATTGTACAGATGGTTTCCACAAATTTGTTCAGAGCTTTTACCTCTCCACCAAGAGAAAACAGATTTTTAGAAGGATTTGATGTAGAAGAGGAGGAGCCCTCAATGGATCCTGCATGGTCTCATTTGCAAATTGTTTATGATATTCTTTTGAGGTTTGTGTCTTCACATGAGACAGATGCAAAATTGGCTAAGCGGTACATTGATCACTCTTTCATTCTAAGGTTGTTAGACCTTTTTGATTCTGAGGACCCCAGAGAAAGGGAGTATTTGAAAATGGTTCTGCATCGTACCTATGGAAAATTTATGGTCCATCGTCCATTCATCAGGAAAGCAATCAACAACATTTTCTACCGCTTTATTTTTGAAACTGAGAAGCATAATGGGATTGCAGAGCTATTGGAAATCTTGGGAAGTATAATCAATGGGTTTGCTTTGCCACTAAAGGAAGAGCATAAGCTCTTTCTTGTTCGTGCTTTAATACCACTTCACAAACCCAAATGCTTACCCACATATCACCAGCAGTTGTCTTACTGCATTACTCAATATGTGGAAAAAGACTGCAAACTTGCTGATACTGTTATACGGGGCATGTTAAAATATTGGCCAATTACAAATAGTTCGAAAGAGGTCATGTTCTTGGGTGAAATGGAGGAAGTTTTAGAAGCTACACAACCTGCAGAGTTTCAGCGCTGCATGGTACCCTTGTTCCGTCAGATAGGCCGTTGCGTGAGTAGTTCCCATTTTCAGGTAGGCATTTTGCTACTTTACTATTTGTAGTTTTCCTGTCTCTGTTCATTTCATATGGGTCTTCTGTTCTAATTTTATGGTAAGTTTACTTTTATCATTGGTTGATGCGCATGTTTCACATAAGAGTATTTATAGAAAATAGAAATGAAAATGACCATAGGAAGTTTGGTTATGCAAACAGCTCATAAAGTTTAAGGTGGAGCTTCATGGATTACCATAAGGAATTTGAAAGTATTGGTCTCTAATAAAGATAGATCGTTCCTCTCCCTTATCACTAAAACCTACTAAGAATGTTAGGAGGATAAAGAGATCTATACTTCTGACATTGCTGTGGAGAATTTGATATGGCTTCTTTTCCATTGGGTTTATTGGGAATATTGGTCAAATGCTCAATGGAGAAAATAAAACTGTTAAGAAAAAGTATTGTATGAATCCATATTTTGGTTTTCTGGGAAACATTTCCTATATGCTTTGGCTGTGGTGTCTGAGTGAAGATATTTTATAGCTTGTACAAAACTATACAAGTATTTTTGCTATCTCTTGCTATTTCCTGTATCCTATGAGCTCAGATCTATTTAAGAAGCTACCAATAAAGCATCAAAAATCAAAGAGCAAAATATTTACCATTCTTGCTTAACCAAATATGGTCTCTTCCCCAATGTTACCACAACATGAGGAACCCTCTTCATGGAATGACAGAAATGCTGGTTGCAAGCCTGATCATGATCTCATTCCCTAGGATGATGTAATTTTACTACTTTGAGCCACTTATATGCATTGGACTAAATTTCTTGCGGCATTGGACTAAATTCCAATGATGAATTTAGCAATTAACACTGCATACTCATTAATCACTCATCCTTCATTTACAGGTGGCAGAGAGGGCTTTGTTCTTGTGGAACAATGATCCCATTGAAAACCTAATCAAACAGAATCGCCGGGTTATACTTCCACTTATCTTTCCTGCCTTGGAAAAAAATGCTAGGAATCACTGGAATCCAGCAGTTCAGAGCTTGACGCTGAATGTCCACAAGATCTTTTCTGACACTGACCCTGAGCTTTTTGAGGAGTGCTTGCACAAATTTGAGGAGGACGAAGCACAAGAGAAGGAGATCAAGGTAAAACGTGAAGCCACTTGGAAACACCTGGAAGAGATTGCTGCAATGAAAATTGCAAGTAATGAGCCTGTTCTTGTCTCCTAAAACAATTACTTGGAAACCATCCTGTTAGGACTGCAGTCCTTTCCATTGTAGTTGCTGCCATTTCAGTTCAAGCTTGGTACCAGACCATAAATGGACATGGTGATTTTGACAAGTAGATGATCTACCCTAGTTTTTCTTGCTCTGGATTTTCAGCTTGCTAGATTCAGATGCAAGAAGATGCCACAGTTCCTGGTAAACTCTGGCACTGCCTGCTACAACATACGCAGAATAATATAATGGATTGGAGGGCAAACCTGGCGTGCTGCTAAGGTTTTAAAAGACTCTGGGCGTGCTGCTAAGGTTGGAAAAGACTGTCTTCTAAAAGTAGACGTCTTTTCCATTCATGTTCGGAAGGATGACAAGAAAACATGAATTTCCACATCTGTCAATTCTTATGGTATATTTCTAATTTGGATTAATGTAAGTACTTTACAATGTTGGATGATTTTGGTTTATTGCATTCCATCATTTTTGAATTAGACT